CCCCTCGGGTTCGAGGTGTGACACATCCGAATTTAGTTGTGCCCGGAATATGCATCGAGAAAACTGAGTATCTCATGTCCGGTCGCCGCGTTGATCATCCGATCGATATTAGGTAAAGGGAAAGAATCCTTAGGGCATGCCTTGTTTAGATCTTTGTAATCTACACATTCTTAGCTTAGTCGCTTTTTTAGGCACTACTACTACGTTAGCTAACCAATCCGGGTACTTAAACTCCCGAATGGATCCGATTTTAAGGAGTTTAGATACCTCGTCCTTGATAAATGCATTCGTGACCTTGGACTGCAGACTTATTTTTTACTTAACCGGATGGAACTTCGGGTCGAAACGCAGCTTATGAATGGTTACCTCCAGTGGGATCCATGTCATGTCAAGATGGGACCAAGCGAAACAATCTATGTTAGCTTTAAGAAAGTCAATGCGCTTTTTTCTAAGCTTTGGGGTTAACCCTGTGCCTAGGTATATCTTTCGATCTGGTAGGTGTTCGATCAATATGACTTGCCCCAACTATTCGACCATCGATTTGGTGGCATCAGTATCATTAGGAGCTATGAATGGTCTCGGAACTCTGTAATCATCCTCCTCATCTACTCCTTGTTCCTCTGATCTAGCCGAGATCGGCATCGGTGGTTGCTATTTAATTTTTGCCTTTCTGGTCAGCTCCGTGTTCCTTGATGTCGAGATAGTGGGCACCGGGATTACCTTGTTGACTGTGATCATTTCCTTTGCGGCCGAATTCTCTCCATAGACCATCGTGACTCCTTCTAATGTAGGGAACTTCAACACCTGGTGCAAGGTCGAGGATACCGCCCTCATATTGTGAATCCACAGTCTTCCGAATAGGGAGTTGTACCTCATGTCCCCTTTGATCATGCAGAACTTTATTTCTTGGGTTGTTTCAACGGTGTTTACTGATAGGATTATCTCCCCTTTAGTGGTTTCACATGCCATATTAAATCCCTTCAACACCCGGATTGCCGGCACTATTTGGTCCTATAACCCCAATTGCTCCACGACCCTCGATCTTATGATTTTGGCTGAGCTACTTGGATCAATCAAATACACGTTTAACTTGAGATTTATTAGTAAGTATGAATATTACCAGCACATCATTGTGAGTTTGTACGATGCTCTCGGCATCCTCATCGCTGAATGAAATAATTCCCTTCGGGACATAATCTCGGATGCGTTTTTCCCTTCGGATGGAAACTTTAGTGCACTTTATCATTGGTCCTTGGGGAATATCAACCCCTCCAATGATCATGTTGATGACGTGCTAAGGCTCCTCTTGTTCGGCATGTTTGTTGGTGTCCCTGTTCCAAAAGAGTTTTTTTTTGTTCGGTCACTCAAAAATTCTCAGAGGTACCCGTTATTGAACAACTGGACAACTTCTTCCCTCAATTGTCGGCAATCATCGGTTCTATGGCCATGAGTGCCATGATACTTACACATCAAGTTAGGATCTCTTTGGGTAGGGTCGGACTACAATAGGCGAAGACATTTGGTTTCCTTGATTCGCCTGATGGATACGATGCTGGTGGCATCAACGTTGAAGTTATACTATGATAATCTCGATGCTTCCCTACCCCCGAGTGGCCTGTCGAAACCATTTTTGCTCATCAGACCTCGGCTGCTAGGCCCTCGATCGCACCTCTTTTCGTTCCTTCTAGGGTGGGGCCTGGATCCATTTCCCCTTCGGTCTTCACTATACGGTAGATATCGATACCGAACTGTCCTTGGACCTATCATCGGCTCTGACAGAATAAACAGACCCAAAGAGAGTCCCGAGTTAGTCGTCCTTGACTATAATTTTGATTGGTACATGTTGTGGATATCGCCCCAAGTTACTGCCCGATTCTCTACCAAATTTTGCTTTAGCTGCTGTGAAGCCAAGGAGCTTGACACGAACGGAGGTAGGTCCATCCATTCCATCCAGAACCTTGACATGAACTCCCTGAGCATCTCATTGTCTCTTTATTTAACCTTGAAAAGGTCCGACTTTCTGGTCTCGACCTTGATGGCCCCGGCATGGGCCTTCACGAAAGCATCTACAAGCATAGCAAATGAGTCAATGGAATTTGGGGGGTAAGCTGTGATATAATATCATCACTCCTTTGGACAAATGTTTCCCAAACTTCTTCAGTAACACCGAGTCGATCTCATCATCTTCTAAGTTGTTCCTCTTGATTCCGCATGTATAGGAGGTCACATGCTCATCCAGATACATGGTTCCGTCATATTTTGGGATATAGGGCATACAAAACCTCTTTAGGATCGGCTTAAGTGTCGCGCTCGGAGGGAAAGGCTTCTGGATAAACTTCTTGGAATTTGGCCCTTTCAGTATCGGGTGTACTTTCGGGATTTGATCGACCCGGGAGTTTTAGGTTTTCACCTTCTTGTCATTGGCCTTAATTGTTTTTTCACTTGACTCCACCCGCTTCGTTAAGCTTTGAGCATTCTCATAATTTTGGGATTGACCTCGGGCTCAACTTCACCCGGCCTCTCGGTGATCTGCTCATATTTTCAGATATTTTTTCGGGACTATTCGGGCTCAATGCTATTGGGGGCGTGGCTTTGATTTTGTAGCTGTGCTATAGCTGCTCTTGAGCCTACAACATTTCGAAGATTAACCGTAGGTTTAACCCGTCGTCTTCGCATTCGGGCGCTTCTCGATCTATTTATCAGGGTTCCCCGCGAATGCCATTTTCGGGATCAATTGGGAAGTTGACGTTGATGGCCACCTGTGAGTTAGCATCAACCGCATCGGCAACTGGGACTCCGTTGGGATCAATATGAGGTATCTCGTTGCTAGGCACCGGGTTGTTGTTTTTGCCATGATGGCCAGACTCAGTGTCAACATTCAAGTGGGCAGACTGAGAATTTGACATTTAAAAACTGGCCTGAAATTAAGACTTTAAAGAACAAGCGTAAAATAGAGTGTGTTATTGAGATTCGTATCAAATCACCACTATTATCCTTAGCTTTGCGGTGGGCGCCAAACTGTTTACCCTTAAAATGGGTAACAATTAAATTTAAATGCAGTTTTAAGGATACGTGGATAGATTCAACACAAATAATTAAGATTGGATAAATGAATTAAAGACAAAATAAATAAACAAACCAATTTTAATGTTCATGCCTAGCTCGAGCTTAAGTTGAACAGTAGTTTTGCTCTCGGTTCGAAGCCAATAGTGAATGAAGAACAAATAGTAAAATAATAGCTTTCCTATAGCTAGAGAGCAGAAAAATAAAATTATGTTGCCTTGGTTTGCGTGTTACAATGTGTGTTATCAAAGAAAAACTTTCCCTTTATATAGTAAGAGAGTTTCATCCCTAGTACAAGTCTAGAAAAGGCAAAAATCTCCCTTTCTCGCCAATCACTGATCTGTAATTGTCATCGGGCGAGTTCTGCGCCGTGTTATCCGGTTACGTACGAATATCACGGTCCTCTGTTAGTCGTGCGTAACCGTTTGCCATATCTCTCGAGGTCCTAGAGCTTGTTTTGGGTCTAGGGAGCGTTGCTTTATCACGGCCGATAATGAGCCCATTGTTCATCTTTCATGGGTCTCGGTACAAAAGGCTCCTGGCCCCTGATTTTAACCTCGTGTGTTCGCGCCCTCCCTCCGTCTTCTTCACCGAGAAATCGGGGTATGCATTACCCCTATTTAACCCGTATACGATAACCGTTGTTTCTAAATGATTAAGATATACTTATTTGACCTAATCTTTTGCATGAAGTTAGCTTCACCTATTTAGCAATCTACTTTAACTTAATGTGTATATACTGTCATAATATGAGAGTTGAAGCTATTTGTCATTTGATTCACGAAGTATTGAAATTTTTTTGCAAATATTTTATTTTTCTGATAATGTTATTGAAGATTTTTTTTTCAATTTTTGCAAAAGAATTCTGAAATTTTTTTCAATGTTTGGTTGAAAAAGAATTCTGAAAATTTTCTTTTCTAGTACTTCTCACAAAAACTATTAGCTAAAGATATTCCCCAAAAACAAAATTCGCCTTTTTATTTATTGCTTCGGAAATTTCACCTATTTTAAAAGCAAATGTTCAATATTTAGTCCAAAACTCTTGGAAATTAGCGAATACCATGCTTTAAAATGATAACACACATAAAACCCAAAAGGAGGGATCCATTTGATTTGTATGTTCTCACCGTCTCATGAGTCATAAGTGCTTTCGGTCTGGTTGGAAAAAAACTTGACGGAAAAATCACCATCATTTTCACAAAATTTCGGCTCTTAGTCAAATCTCTCCGTCCAGCAGATTCATTTTGAACCGCAGGATTTGCCACAACAACTTTCTCACATACCAGTGATTGATGGAATTTTCCGTGGATCCTATTATTTTCGATATGGAACATATATATATATATGTATGAAATATAAAAAAAAATATGAAATTTTAAAAATATAATAAATTTAGTGGGCTAAAACATTAAAATTGAAGAGATCAAGTTTAAATTTCAGATCGGTATCCGACACCACCTCTGCCACTACCTCCTCTTCACCCTTTGATGCATCATAACCCATTAGACCCCAAGTATGCAGTTTTTCCTGTTATATTGGCTTTCGTCATTACCAACTATATACCGAACCCCACCCTTTCCTATTATTATATATGTACACACGAAAACAAAAGAAAAATCAAACCAAATACGTACTGTACTTGTTATTAATTTATCAATTCTTACATGATCCACACAGCTGTGTATGAATATAATCAATCATGGTGTAGAGAGTCAATATTTGATACGCTTGCACTTTATGCAACTATAAAAAGGTCACTTTGAAGCTAACTTATTTAAAGTGCACAAAAGATATTTTTTAGAAGTCATTTATTTCGGTTCTCCAAATCATGAAACTTTCTTTTAAGCCAGTACAGCCATGCACCAGCTTTAAACAAAACCCTCAACGACCTACATTCCAGTGCATCACCACTACTCAACCAAACAGGTTTACAAGAAATTTAAACCTCACCATGCAAACGTTATCCCCGAAAAACCTCGAAAATTTATTGTTTGGCTGGAATGTTGTTGAGCCTAGTGAGAATTTAGCTTCAACATCATCAGCAGCCTCGTCAATGCCCAGTTTCTCCGGACAGTACCCGAAAGAACTGGGCAATAATTGGATGGACTATCAAGGGATCAAGAACTGGGAAGGTTTACTTGATCCCCTCGACGACAGTTTACGTGGAGAAATAATCAGATATGGTCATTTTGTTGAAGCTGCTTATAGAGCTTGTAATTTTGATCCTTCTTCTCCTTCATACGCCATGTGCAAATACTCGAAAAAGAAGCTGCTCCAATTTTCTGGCTTTTCAGGTACTGGTTATCGTGTTTCTAAGTACTTAAAAGCCACTAGCGGGATACAGCTTCCAAGTTGGGTGGATAAAGCACCTAATTGGATGGCCAAGCAGTCGAGTTGGATTGGTTATGTCGCGATTTGCCATGACCAAAGAGAAATTACAAGACTCGGGAGAAGGGACGTTGTCATTGCCTTACGTGGCACTGCAACTTGCTTGGAGTGGCTCGAGAATCTACGAGCTACTCTCACACCTCTCTCAAATAATAATAATAATAATAACAATAACAACAGTAATAAATGTTGTTCCAGCATATATTCCGTTAATTGTTGCCCAATGGTCGAAAGCGGTTTCCTAAGCTTGTATACATCCAAGATGGGCACACGTCACAGTCTACAAGACATGGTGAAAGAAGAAATAGCCCGAATCATAAAAGCTTACCCAGGTGAAACTTTAAGTTTTACCATCGCAGGCCACTCACTCGGGGCAGCGTTAGCCACCCTGATGGCCTACGATATTAAACAAGCTTTAGAGGAGATACCTCTCGTTACAGTTATTTCTTTTGGCGGTCCAAGGGTCGGGAANTTAACAGTAATGACGACTAATTTTACCATTAACTTTTCATAAGTCTGTTCCTATTTTTCACCCACTAGCCGTCCTGCCCTGCTCATCACATTTGAACTCCACAAAGCAAAAATATACTACCTTAGTACTCGCGCGCCAATTGGATAGTTGGATTTGGAGTACATGATTAGACGCATCTAATGTACAATGTAAATTCAGACATAAATTTTTTTTAATTCTAATATGTGAATATATATTCCCTTTCGTCCACTGTTAACTTGGTACACCCCTTAAGAAACAATAAATATTATGATGATTTTACAGTATTATCCCTATTATTTATTATATATTGGAAAGTGGATTGAAAATAAATTGTACTTAATAAGAAGAGTGACATAGGTATATGGTAAATATCTATTATTTTTTCGAACTAGACAAATAAAAATGAATATTTATATTTAGTATAGTGAACAAGTTAGACTGAGGGAGTACATGTTAAGATATTACATCAACACTATCACTATTTGTATAGTTAAAAGTAATTAAATTTATGTGACACTTTTTTTTTTTAAGTATGTTCCACAAAGTGATGTATTTCTATATTAAAAAATAATTAATTAACTTTAACACTCTCATTTTATCTTTAATGATATGATTTTATACCCACATAAATTAAAGTAATTCTATACAATGCAACTGAGGCGGTAACTTTTTGAAAAATCGAAATTAAAAGCATAGACGTATCCAAAATTTAGAATGAATGAGTTCAAAAAGATTGGGATCTTAATATATGAGTACGTTTAAATTTTTTCTTTTCATCATAATTCGAGCCACAAACAAGGGATTTAGGCAAAATCCAGATAAAACATGCCCTAGATCTATCTCTACTAAGAAGCATGATACTAATATATATATGTATAAAGGTGAATGTAGCCTTATATTACCAGGTTCATCTGACTCGGTGATTTCGATGCAAAATATATATTTAGATATATATATATATATATNGATTCAATGCTAGAACCTTACATATTAAACCCGTAAAGTCTGAATTTGAATTGGCCACTGTTAAGAACCTTAGTATATAACAATCAGTAATTAATTATTAGATATACAAAGAGATGGATAGCTAAAGGAAGCCCATTCAAATTGTAGGGACCATGTCCAAAAAATTTCATAAAGTGCTCTATAACTTGGTGTAAAAATGAGAATAATTCAAGTGTTGATTTTCTTTGTTAGAAGGATATAGCATGCGCCGTGATGAATAAATGCTTCTTGCCTACTCCTTTTAGGATTACAAAGTGTTATGTAAAGTGCAATTCGCACAATAGACTTCAATGGTGCGTGGTCTCAAAAAGCTCTGTTTTGTTTTTACCTGAAGGAAATAGGCTTTTACGGAAGCATCCTCTCCTGAAGACTGTAATTACGTAGTCTGCCATCGTACCACCGACCCCGTTCGACGACTGTAGGCGCACATGCAATCGCTTTTTGTTCTACATCGGGCCGCCGTCCATTCCGAAAGGGGGTCCAGTATGGGTAGAATGACATAAATACCCCTCCCGGTTATAGGATGTGTCATAATGTCATGCTAATACGTAAACAATGAGAAAACTAGGCCAATATGATTGTCCAAGGTGAATCAATTCGTGTTAAAATTACTCCTTACTTCTTTTTCACAATCGATAATTATTACACATACAGATATTGGAGATGCAGATGGTGTTTCTCCTATTACAGAGGCGAATTCAGAATTTAAGCTTTATAGATTGAAGTTCTAAATACTATTATATTCTATTTGATTTAATGGGTTCAAATATTATATATTAAAAAAATTAACCTTAATAGTTGTCGACCCAACTGTTTAACTAAAAATAGTCAAAGACTGTACATACGTAGAATTCAAGTATAATGTGTATATAATCGCATATAATTAATACATAATTTATATATATATATATATATATTGATTAAAAAAATAAACAATAAATCAGCTAGTTGTTTGTATAAAGATCTCATTGTCATTTATACTAACTAGTCTAAGCGTACGCGCATTACGCGTGTTCTTCGTGTTAATAAAAATAAAATTTTAAAAATAATATAAAAAATATTCAAAAGATGTAGTTGCGTTATAATATAAAAATTAATAAAAATTTGCAAGATTCAAAGTGATAGTCATATTTAGGAGTTTAATCCACTCTATTATATTCCTACCTCTATAATTCCAATAGGCATCCAAAGTCAATGATTATTAACAGTTCGTATAAAACTTTAGCTCGATCATTATTTTATATTACCTATAATTTCTTTTTAAAGTACTTCTTTTACTTGAGACCCATTATATATATACGTCATTTTCCTATTCATATTCCTTTGTACAAAATATTAATCAATCTTTTTACCGTTTAAAATAGATTTCATATTTAAAAAAGATTATAATTTGATCATGTTTTAATATTTAGACAATAAAAGTGGACAAAGAATTTGAGTATGTTCAATGAAAAAGAACGTCCTAATTGCTAAGTCTAAACCCATGCCTACATGTTACCTCAAATAAGAATTATCGTTAATTCTTCCATATTATTTTTATCAAAATTATGTTTTTCATGCACTTTTTTTATGTTCCCTTTTAAATATTAGCATAAAAACAGTACGAACAGTTAGTTACTCTATGGTTATATCTAAAAGTTCTATTTATTAGAATGTAAAATTATTTTTATGTACAAAAAATATTGTAGAAATAATATTCGTTTAAAGAGTAAAATGATCGTTCAAATTTTTAACATTTAGTTCTATCAACTGACTATTATAAGTTTCTTACTTTGTATAATAGTAATTAAATAAATAGTGGATAAATTTCTTATTTTATCTTTTTTAAATAATTCTTTTTTCACCATCTTCTCTAGATAGGTTGATTAGTATTATTCTCATAAATCTCTCTTATATGAGAAAGCCTTCAATGTTTTATGTTGATGACTTGGTACTTTTTCTGTATGAGAAGATATTTGCGTGGGTACCCAGATTCAATTGGAAAAGTGGAAATTGTTTGTAAAATTGATTGTTAACAAATTTATCAAATATAAAATTATTTCTTTAATAGAGTATTCTAATTCTTAAGGATATAAGGAAAAAAAAAAGAGAGAGAGAGAGAGAACGTGTTTACGACAACTAAAATATTGCCGAATACAAATGTCGTGAAAGTGAAATTAAATTTAATGTTATGATTTTTTATATAGTTCAAATAAGGAAGATTTATTAATTAAAAGTTTAGTTAATTTCAAACTCCTAAATATTAGGAAAACAATTTAAATGACAATTTTATCTAGTGTAAAATCTAATTTTAAAGGCCAAAAAAAGCGAACGACATTTCTCTAAGAACCTTTGTACTTTTAATAAAGTATAGATTAGTGGACTTATCACATATACAAGGCATGGGTCAAAATTATTGCATTCGGTTGAACTAATAGCTTGTACTACATGAAGTCCGTCCATGGAGAAAGCATTCCACTAGTCCTATATCATCTTTTTTTTTTTGGTAATAAAAATAAGTTGTACCAAATAAAATTATTCGTTTTAAATAAAAGGGATACACTATACTTTTATACAGGTCAAAATTAAGACGTGTTGATCATGTTGAGTTTATCGTACCCAATCTTTCTTACGTACGCTGAAAACGAAGTTAAGCATATTTTAAAAACTAATTGAATTGATTAAGAAAATCAAAAGTGCTTGGAGTATATATAGTACTCCTTCCATTTCAATATAAATGTTATATTTTCGTTATTAGGTTGTTACAAAAATAATGACACATTTCTATATTCAGAAATAATTTAACTTTAAATTTTTTATTTTACTTAATTTATCCTTAGTGACAAGCTTTTATAGCTACACAAATAACATGGTCCTACAAAGTTTTTGCACCTTAAGCTTTTAGGATCATATATTTCAAAACATTTTTTTTCTTTTTAAATTTTGTACCAAGTCAAACTACATCATCTAAATTGAAACGGATGGAGTAATATTTTGGTCGGAAAGAGAAAGGCATGATCACTCTCAAGGTTGTGGTATCAACTCCCAGTGATCCATTAATGCTTTGTATCAAATTTATTTATTTCAAAAGAAATTACAAGTGATGCTGCTATATTTGAGCTTTACCTTATTTAATCTATGCAACATAAAATTAAACACAAAAAAGTTATTATTTCAAAATTAATATGTGTGAAATCTAAACAAAGTTATTATCTAATCACTTGTTTCTTTTAGGCGAAATGGCCTCCTGACCACTTAAATTTGTACCGGATTTTAAAGCTCGATATATAAATTTTTGACTTTCCCATTTTAGCACCTCAACTCAATCAGTTGATTATAAATAAATCCCTTCGTCGGAGCGTGTAGCTCAATTCCTTGACAAAAAGAACACGTCAAATACTAAGACAATTTATTATTTTTCACGTGTCATCAGTGGGTCCCATTTTTTTAATAATTAATTTATCAAAATTCCTTTCTTATTTTATTTCTTCCATTATTCCTTCTACACCTTTTATCGCCACCATTGTGAGAAAGATCTCAGCCATCACTTGACCATATGCTCAATCAGTCATGAACTTTCATAAAATTCGTTTCATTTTTCACTTTTAATCAAGCTTCAAATATGGGACACGGCGGGACAGGAGAAATTCCGGTCAATTACGAGGGCATATTACAGAGACGCTGCAGGAGCTTTGCTTGTTTACGATGTGACTAAAAGGCACACTTTCGGGCGGCTGTCGAGTTGGCTTGAAGATATACGGCAACAAGACGACACGTCAGTAATAGTGGTGGGGAACAAGTGGGACGCCGGAGAAAATATTAGGGCTGTTAATGCAGAGGAAGGCGAGGAATTCGCAAAGAGTAATGGATGTTTGTTTATTGAAGCTTCTGCTAAAACGACGGTGAATGTGGCGACGGCGTTTCATAAGACGACAGAGAGAATATGTGAGAAGATGGGATACGTGGATCTTGAGGAAGTGGATGAAGCTCTGGGAATTAATATTTGGAAATGGAGAGGGTTTAGGATTGGAAAGAACATAGTGGGTGAAGGGAATTTTGCGGGGATGGGGGACACTACAACAAATATGATATGTAGCAACGAAATTATTAGCCACGACATAAAATTCATCACTAATTATTTACTTTTCGTGACAAAAATTATAATTCGTCTTTAAATACATAAATCTCATACTTTTAGTGACGAAACATAAAATTTCGTAGCAAAGTATTGTCCACTAAAGTTTCCCACCAAAATATAAGTTGGCGCCATTTATTGAGTAATATTAGCCACAAAATTGAAGCTATCGGTGACAAATAAGTTTATCACTAATGATGTACCTAATTAGCGACGAGCCATTGTTTGTCATAAAATTAGTTAAATTTTGGATACGACAAATTTTCATCACAAAAAATATGTGGTTACAATAGCGACGAATTACAATTTGTAGTTAAATATTGTAAATTTCAGCCATAAAATTCTATATTTAATTGTGACCTTACTTTTTGTCACTGATAGTACAAACAATTAGTGACGATTATTTTATTGTCGCTATTTAACCTAAAATTTAGTCACAACGAATTTTGTCATATAATATATAATTTTTAATTTTCTGCGACTTAATTTTATAGTTGAATCGTATCATTATTGGCTACAAAATAATTTGTAGTTAAAAAATAGAAAACCATATTTCATTTTAACTATGAATTTGAAGTTTTGTTCATGCAATATACATAAGACTAATTGAACTAGTGAGTGAAACAACCATTTTTGAAAAATTATTGAGCGATGAATCCCCAATTTTACTTATATAGAAATTGTATGAATATGTTTTTTCTACTTTGAGCACATGAAATTTCTTATTGGAAAAAGTTTTAGTTTTATTTAATTCCATATTGAAGCGAACCGTTTTATTTGGTTTTTATATTAAATTTATACTGTAAAATTAAATCTACATTTCAAAATTAGTGTACCTCTTTAATTATTTCGTCTTACTTAAACTTTAATATTAGAAGATGATTATCGTCTGTTGAGATAAAAGCGGATAAAAATTAACTTTTTTTTTTTAGAAAAAAGTGATATATATGTTTCCATCATTATTTTTACCAATTTGAAATTTATGGCATATTAGAAAAAAAATATAATTCCAATTAATATCTTTCTTTTTTATATTTACATTAGAGATTGATAGGAGTACAAATGGATCTAAGATTACAAGAAGATGGATGCACTATTATGAAAAGTGGTTCTAATATATAAATTTAATAGGTTCAACCTTTTAAATTTTATCATTGATCTTATTATACTTTTAAAATCATAGGTTCAATTTTTTTAAATATAATATTTTACGATTTGCATACATCTATACTCCTTGCTGAAAAAGATGGGATCAGTCAAAATTCATCGACTATATGCTACATCCTTCAATGTTACTAATTTTTATATACATATGTAATTTAATTATATAAAGCTTTATGGTGATTAAATTTGAATATGAATTCAGACTTGTAAAATTTGAAAGAACAAACCAAAGGAAGAAATAAAAAGAAATAAAAAAGTACCTAATTAAAACGCAAGAAGAGACGCCCGACATTTTGGACACTTACGATATCAAGCTCAAGAAAGAACGAAAAATAAATCAAGATTCAAGGAGTACGAGTCTAAAGTATTTGTCCGTTGAATTTAAAATTATTGTTCATGGCTAGATTCAAGATCAAGCTTAAAAACTCTTAAATTTTTTTTAAAGAAGAATCAGTAGAACTTTAGAGATCGTAATATTTAAAACATTTGGAATAAAATGCTACACTTTTTACAATATTTTCTAGCCTTGACTATTTTCTTGGCGTGAATTTAATGTATTCCCTTGAAAATTGAAATCATTAATATACAAAAATACAAATATATAATATAATCTTAATATTTAATAGGAAGTCATTAAAGGAGAGAAGTTTTATGTATAAAAATTCTACCCGAAAATATTGGAGGGAATATAAAAAAAAGTTAAACTTTCAATTATTTCACCTTCCCTCCAATATTTCCGCGTAAAATTCTTCTCTCACCCATTCCCTCCCTACAAACCATGAATAACCTCCCACTATGATTAACTTGAAGTATCCAATTCAACTACAACTACGTAGACTCCTAAAGAAAAGAGAAGTTCCTGCATATGTTTAGTGTTTTTCTTCTTTTTCTATCAAGTGCTTTCTATTACCCAACTAAAACAACTCATCTCCATCGTATGATATTGACCTCGCACCAATACTCTGTTAGTCTCTATGCAAAAGTTGATCAACACAAAAGTAATTTCACAAGCTTTTGTTGTGAAATCTGTCCTTTGCTATGAATTGAAGGCCTTGATTCATGGCTTAACGAAGGAATTCTTGACATTCTTTTGATGAAGAGGTAAGTTTCTCTTGATGTAGTTTAGAATTTTTAAAAAAATTTAATTACTATCTATTTCTCATTTTATTATTTGATTCACTAATTAGTGTTAGTTTTGTGATTTAAGTTTGAAGATATATTTTGTTTAAATCACGAAATTAGAAGGTATGAAATACTATTTTTTCCCCTTTTCACAGGTATATGAAGGTGCAAAAAGTGTGAGTTTTAACCAAGGGATGCTGCACACATGAGGAAGCAACATACTTATTTTTTTTTTAGCATTAACATGTATTTCAATTAGACTTTTTGTGTTTGAGGGCTTTTAGTTTGTAGTTTGTACTCAGATGTTATCTTAGAACAATTATAGATGTATAGTACATATTTTTTGTATGAATTTTGGTATTATGTTTCTCTTTTATTTCTGTGATGTTTTTGGTTTACATAAGAGTACATTTAGTGACAAAAAATTAATTTGTCTATGATTTTCCTTCATATGAACAACATAATTATATTTTTATCTACAAATTAACTTAATATTTGATGACAATTAAAATTCTCACTAACTAAGACAACACATAGAGACAAATTAGTCTCGTCACTAATAGCACTATTTGTGGAGACCCAAAATAGTTTCAACTATGAAAATGTTGCTTTCTTAGACAAACAAATCTGTCTCTATTTTATATATTTAGAGATGAAAGATTTCTTTTGTACATAAAGCATAACCAATTAGCGACACGGTCATATTCTTTTAGCTACAAATTACGTATAGCTTTAACGACAATTAATATCATCACTAATTAAAATTTTATAATTAGTGACAAATTAGAATCGTCAGTATTGAAGACCTTTTTAGCGACGACATGATACTTTTAACTACAAAATTTTGACACTTTTTATGACAAACAAGTTCGTCATAAATACAACTTAATTGGGGACGAAAAACATTTCGTAGCTAATATAACTTTATTTTGTGACGAAACTCAAAGTTGTCTTTATATACTATTAGTGACGGTATTTCAGAGACGAAAAATTGACAAAATAAATTTTGTCACGAAAAAATATTTGTGACCAAAAATGAATTTTAGGTGACAAAATAATTTATCACCAATATTCAAATTTGTTGTAGTGGGAAGTGGGTCTGGTTTATTTTCTTTCTTTTTAATTTGTATTTTTTTTCCTGGTTTTAGATTTTCTAAATCAAAACTATTGTAGTCACGCGCGTAATTTTCGTGACTGGCACACACCTTGTCCATATCATCGCTGTCACTGTCATATGTGCATGGTCAATGGTCAAATAGGTTTATTAGTTACCGGATATGTGAGTTAGAGTGTTCAAATGGAAACAATATAAGTTTGTGTATCGGCATTAAAATCCGATACAAGTTTAAGTGGGCAGAGGCCATTTCGCCTTTCTTTTATAATTTTTTCTTTGAATTGCAATTTTATCTGAAAACACATTAATGTTAATTTCAACCTTTCCCGAGAATATAGTTGGTTCTTTTTCTCGTTTTTCCTGTTTTGGGGCTCGTTTTCTCGTTTTGACTGAATTATTTAGAAAGTCAGAGGGACATTTCACAGTTTGAAATGAAGAGTCTATAATAAAACCTCAAATGGTTTGAGTGTGCCTGTTTACTTTTAGACTTTCTGTTATTCCTTGCTCGACTTATGCCCAAATTTCCATTCATATATCATCCACCATATAGACAGTGCGATAAATTTGGCATAAAAATCAAAGTTGAAAGGCGGGCTTCAGACTTCTGTTAACATCTTTAATTTCTACTTCCTCCGTTCACCTTTAGTTGTCAAGTATTCTAAAAAAAAATCATTTTTACTTGTCACTTTTCGCATATCAAGAGAAAAATAACCTATTTTTCATAATTTGCTTTAACATTAATATAATTACTCATTCTAATATATTTTTCAAATCCATTATCATAGTAAATTATGCATATTATTTATATTTCTTAAAGGGTATGCAAAATCAATAGTGGACAAGTAAAAATGAACAAAGGGAGTACTAATTAGTACAATGTAAACGAATCTTGGTTGACCACGCAATATACCAAAATGACACTGCAACTAAAACGTTTATATGTTTGAGGTGTAGCTGTACGTTAATGTGTGATCATTTCTAAAAGTTTAAAGGGTTATAGATCACACTTTTTAATTTTATCTAATTTACTTAAAATTATATCCTCCCACGGGTGATCCAGACTTTTTATCGACCAAACACGTTAAATATTTTTTATAATAGATGGTAACGAGACTTGAATGGCCATGACGTCTATTTGTTGTAATATCTCATTTAAGTGTCTGATACCATTTAATCTAAAGTTTAAGTTGTTATAATTGAAAACACACTTTTATTTAGTATCTTTTCTTTGAAGTTAAAGTTTATTATTTGGNTGGAGTTGTTGCTAATGTCATGAATTTTGTGAAATCTAATTGTGTTAGATTTTCTAGTCGGTTTGGGAGCCTATTTTTTTCCCTATATGTTTGGGAAATTCATTACCCTAGTAGTCCGGGGAAACTATATATATTGTCCTTTGTTAGTTTAAGTATTACTTTGGGATCTCTTATACTGTTCTTTCCATTCACGGTGGAAAAATCTATTTGCTTCATTGCTTTAGCCAAACATTGTTAAAAATCGTTGTGTTGTTTCTTCTTGTATACGGTAAAAATTGGTAATCCAATTTTATGACCAATAAGGCGCCTCGTAAAGACTGCCCCCAGAAGGTTCGAAGCTCAGTTTGGGGTTTTGTCCCCGAGCTTCTCAATTATCGACCGCGAGGT